CGAAGCCAGGCACCCCCTTCACTGTCCCTGAGCACCATCCCAGGGCCCTCATCCCCACCCACATGCAGTCTTTAGCTCCGGGAGTAACCCTGCCAAGGGCAGGAGATTCAGTCTTGAGGACGCCTTTTTCTAAATCCCCAGCAGAAAGCCCATCATTGAACCCTTGAATAATTTAATATAATAACATTCCAGGAATCGATATTTTAAGTCAGAATAAAATAGTTCCCAGCAGTCGTGGGTAATTCCCAAGGGGCCTGGGATCCCCTTTTCTGACCCCAAAGCCAGTCTGGGTTTCTAGATTCCTCCTGACCCCAAACGCAGTCCCCAGGTCAGCTTCCCAGTTCACTGAGACCAGCCGGTGTGCGACAGCCACCATTTCCCAGCTCGGCTAGGTCTCAGCACCACCCAAGGGTGCTTCTAAAATGTACATTCCAGGAGCTGCCTCCGCTGTCTGGATGCCAACAGCCAGTAACTGGCAGCTGGAGTTTCAACCAGGACCAGGTTGCCTCTGCTGCTCTGGAGGGTTCCAGGAGCTCCCCAGTGGCTCTGAAAGGCACCCCTGCCCCTAGAAAGGGCTGCAACCCTTGGCTGGGGCCTGTGGCCTAGCAGCTTTGTGCACCCCCACCCCAGTGCCCTGTGAAGCTGATGTAGGTGGGTCCCCCCAAATCTCTGTGAGCAGGGAAGGATCCTTGGCCCCACCCCAACACTATCGCAGAGCCTGGCGCCCGGGACACTGAATACATGCCTATCACTGATGGCCCTGCCGGTCACCCAGCACCCTAGAGCCCTGAGCTGGGGAACGGGGAAGGAATCCTGGTCAGGCAGGGGGCAGGACTAGCCCCCACCACCCTGAACCTGATCACTTGAAGCCATCCTAAGGCAGAACTTCTCCCATTGACTTGGGGACCAACCACAGCGTCGCATCTCTGGCAGTTTGTGGGAAATGCAGCCTCCTGGGCCTTACCTGAGTCAGGATGGGGGCTGGGCAGAGCTCGAGGCTCCTAAAGTTTGGACACTCCCCCTAATGCTGTGCGGCTGGGGCGGGCGGGTCGGCACGCGGGCGGGTCCGCTTCTTGGGT